CACCGCAGACACGTGCAGCCGCTCCCTCGGCGTCAGCGGCTGGGCTTTGGACATCTCCACCATGTTCCTCACCGCCAGCGCCAGCTCTCGGTCCAGCCGCACGGAGCTCCCGGTGCCAATCAGCACCAGGCCATTGGCGATGGCGTGGCCCATGGCTGGCGAAAGGTGGGGGGCAGCTGGTGACTCGCATGGCCCGCCCCGCCCCACCCCGAATGTGAAATGAGCAGCCCACGTCCCAGGAGGGGCAAGCAGGTGCAGGTGGGCGGAGCGCTGTGCCCCCACCAGAGTGCAGAACTCAGCCGGGCCCTCACCCCCGCCTGCAGGCCACACCCTGAAAGCATCCTGCACCCCACAAACATCTGCCTCACGAGGGCAACTGGGGAGTGCATGTCTGGAGCACCCCCTCACCAGCTGAACCTTTTTAAAAATTTAATCCTCAGCTGAGGATATTTTTCCCATTGATTTTCAGAGTGGAGGGAGAGAGGAAGGGGGGCCAGGGGGAGGGGAGAGAGAGGGACATCGGGGTGAGGGAGACACAGTGATTGGATGCCTCCTGCACGCTCCCTGACTGGGGCTAGGGACTGAACCCACAACCAAGGTATGCGCCCTTGACCAGGAATGGAACCCGAAAGCCTTTGGTCCGCAGGCCGACACTCTAACCACTGAGCAGACCAGCCAGGGCAGCTGAACCCCTCTTTCTTCAAACCTCGTTCTCATCTGAGAAATGGGATCAGTGTCTTTTTTGGAGAATGGGCGTCCAATTAGGGGGAAAGGTGCCTTCTCCAGACCCGGCATCGCCATGGGAGCAGCTGGTATTCCAACCACAACACTGACTGGCACCTCCCACCCCCTCCGTGCAAATGCCCGCCCGGGCACTGCCAGCCGTGACCCGGGGCCCAGCCCAGGGAGCGTCACTCACCGAAGGTCGGGTCTGCCGCCTTCAGCTTCGCCAGGCAGCCCTCGATGCCCCCAAGAGCCGTGTCGTTGGTCCACTTCACGTACTGAAACACAAGCACAGCGAGCCGTGGCGGGGAGGCGGCGCTCCCGCTGGTGAAGGCGCGGCCCGCAGCCAGGCCTGTGCTCCTTGCTGGAACACGGTGTGTTTTCTGGGCTCAAGGAAAGCAGGACTGGGTTGCTCTCAGCGAAGAGACTGAACACGAGCCACTCCAGGCACGTTCTCTGGGGGCGGTGAGGCCGCCGTTTCCAAAACCCCCACAGCCTCTAGAGCAGCGGTTCTCAACCTGTGGGTCGCGACCCTTTCACAGGGGTCGCCTAAGACCATCGGAAAATACATATATAAATACATATTGTTTTTGTGATTAATCACTATGCTTTAATTATGTTCAATTTGTAACAATGAAAATACATCCTGCATAGCAGATATTTACATTATGATTCATAACAGTAGCAAAATTACAGTTATGAAGTAGCAATGAAAATAATTTTATGGTTGGGGGTCACCACAACATGAGGAACTGTATTAAAGGGTCGCGGCATTAGGAAGGTTGAGAACCACTGCTCTAGAGGAAGTCTGCCCGAGTTACCTGCCCCCTACTCAGCGTCAGCCCTCGAGGGGCCGCCACAGGGCACCCCCGTGGGAGTCTTCTCTGCCTCGTTCACACCTTCTAAGAAGAACTAGCCCTAGTCCGTGTTGCTCAGTGGATAGAGCGTCGGCCTGCAGACCGAAGGGTCCCAGGTTCGATTCTGGTCAAGAGCACGTACCTCGGTTGCAGGCTCCTCCCTGGCCCCAACCCTGGTTGGGGCGTGTGCAGGAGGCAACTAATCGATGTGTTTCTCTCACATCAGTGTTTCTCTCTCTCTTTCCCTCTTTCTTCTACTCTCTCTAAAAAAGATCAATGGAAAAATATCCTCGGGTGAGGATTATACAATAAAAAAATAAATAATAAAATATTTAAAAAAAAAAGAAAAACCGTAGTAAACATGCATTGTGGAAAGTCAGGCCCAGCCCTGGCTGGTGTGGCTCAGTGGTTGGATATTGTCCCATGCACTGAAAAGTCATCTGTTTGATTCCCAGTCAGGGCACATGCCCAGGTTGTGGGTTCGATGGAGTGCATACGGGAGGAAACTGAATGATGTTTCTCTCTCACATGGATGTCTCTCTCTCTCCCTCTCCCTTTCTCTCTTTCTAAAATCAAGAATCCTATATAATAAAAGGCTAATATGCAAATTTTCCCCTCACCGGGAGCTCGACCAGGGGGCAGGGCTGACCACCCACCTGCGGCCCCTCCCCCCAGATAGCCCCGCCCTTGATCACCCCCTACCCCATCGGGGGTGGGGCCAGCCTGCCAACCTCCTGCGGCCCCTCCCCCTGACCGCCCAATCACCCCCATCCGGGATGGCTGGCGGCCAGACCCAACCCGTGCATGAATTCGTGCACCGGGCCTCTAGTACTTTTTAAAAAGTGCTATGAAGAATGTCTGGGTCCCCATGAAGCCCTGCTCCCCCCAAGTTTCCCAGGAGACCTGGATAGGAAGGGCCCATGGGCTTCACTGTTCGTAAAGCCAGGAGCGCTGATGAAGACGTAAGGCTCCGAAATCAGGATGCACGTATAAGTGAGCCGTTAAAAGGGAGCTCAGAGCACCCAGGACACGGTGGAAGTAGCCTTCACATCGTGGCAGGAATGGATGAAGCTGTGAGATGCGCCCAACAATTTAACAAGGAAAAATTAACTGAAAGCATTCACCAGCCCGGCTGGCATGGCTCAGTGGTTGAGCGTCGACCTATGAACCGGGAGGTCATGGTTCGATTCCGGTCAAGAGCACAGGCCCAGGTGACCGGCTGGATCCCCAGTGGGGGGCGTGCAGGAGGCAGCCGATCCATGATTCTCTCTCATTTAAGTTTCTATCCCTCTCTCCCTCTCCCTTCCTCTCTGAAATCAATTAAAAAATATCTTTTAAAAAAGCATCCACCCATTTCAGAAACCTGGCCCTTTACGGAAGGGGCTGCTCCCTCAGGGTCATCACCTGGGTCAGGGTGGCATCGAACAGCTTGCAGGCCTCGTTGCTGGGGGTGGAGAGCGGGAGACCGGCGTCCTTCCACGCCTGCACACAGAGGGCACGCCAGTCAGGGCCTGTTCCGCGGTCCTCCGAACAGGAACACACGACCCACCCAGCACGGACCTCCCAGGCCCGGCGTCTGCAGGTGTGGGTCCCCGGAGGGCCCGCGTGGACT